CCTGCTGAAAAAGCTCATTGGGTGCTAGTTTAGAGGATCGATTCTGTTACTAAGCTCACAGCTCTGGAAACCAGCTGAGACAGATATGTCCTGTCTGAGTCAGCAGTCATTGCCAAAATGTTGGTCTCTAGAAGGTGTAGGCGCTCTAATGCCATTTTTACTGAACAGTTTATCCCGTATCTTGGACCTTTCTTTTTAATACTTCAGTTGTGACCTGGAATCTCCGTGTCTGGATGAAATTTAGCCTAGTGATTTCTATTCCTTTAGGATTGTCACTGGCATATTTTCCCATATATTTAAATGCTTTTGAGATTAGAGGGTCTTCCTGTATTGCAGATTCTGAACATAGTTTGCGAGAGTTCATGATGATTACTCTTTCTGTGTACTTTAGTTTCAGATGCTTCATCAAGATGAATCAAATAAGAGAGAGAAGATCAAAACAAAGGGAGTTGACTTTGAAGATGACCTGAGAGATGAAGTAGAAGATGCTGTCCAGAAAGTCTGCAATGCAACTGGATGTTCAGTTAGTGTTTGTCGTGCAGTAACAGTGGTTTATAGACAGGCACTGCTGTGCCTAGTTTCTCTGCTAGTTTTGTGGCATCACTCTAGCATGCTAACACCTGATGGGCCAAAATAGGCCCATGATATTTGTAGTTTAATTAGCTTATGTGATACAGTTTAATGAGAGGTGTTCATTCATTTCTCTCTTGTTTGCTAGACTTTATCCAATACTGTTCAAAACCCTAAGGAAGTATGTGGGTTTATTATTTTCTGACTAGTGCAGTTTTATAAGAATTCATTTTATTAAATGGTTATTTCAGGTGATTAACCATACTGAAAATTAAGACATTTTCTAAATGGAAGGTCCTGAAACCTTGCCTCAATGACATCCTTTTGTTTATTTTTAGAATAGGTTGCTTTTTATCAACATTCTAAGGAATAGACTGCACATTGCTTGAGTCCACTTACACTTTTACCTGCAAAAAGTTTGTAAAATTGTTTGTCATATTATTGATGTAGAGATAGGTAGAAAAGTATGCCCAGAGTCTTGAAGTGTTCCTTTGTTTCTTTCATAGGATTTTAATTTGATAGTCCAGAACCTGGAAGCTGAAAATTATAATATTGAATCTGCGATAATTGCCATGCTCCAGATGAACCAGGGGAAAAGAAATAGTAAGTCCATGATTGATATTTATAAGGCTTCAAAATGATTATGTTGGTGATTTTCCAAATACTTATTTTTAATCAAGTGACAGGTAATAATTATATTGTTATTTATTCATTCAGCAGCTTTGTATATGCAGGTGTTTTTTACTAGGTGCCAGCCCTGCGTCAGAGAGAGTATAGTCTGGGGTGGGGAGGGGCTTGGTGGAGAGAGATAAGTAAATTGGTATAATAAGACATAATGAAGTGTGGGAAGTAAATTGGTATAATAAGACATAATGAAGTGTGGGTACAGGCTGCTAGGGGAATGCATGAAAAGGCCACCTAGCTCAGTTTTGGAGGAATGGAAAATGTCAGGGAAGACTTTAGCCTTTTAGAAATGAGATCCCGTTATCATACCAAAATGATCATTGAAATGGAATGGAGAGAAAAATTATTTTTCTAATGGAAATATTTAAATTACTGGCATCTGTCAACTGGTGATAATTCAGAATTTCTCTTTGCTTGAACTGAGTTTAATTCTGTGATTCAGAGGAAGGAAAAAAGTTGTTAACATCGAACTGTTTTCTCAAGTTATTTATTTTAAATGATTTCAGTATTTATTGCCAGACATTATGTGCCACATACTGTTCCTGGCATTATAGTTTTCTGATTGGGTATTTTATTATCCTCCTTACATATTTGCTATGCCTTCTTAGAAAGCTGTAAGTAACTTGGTCTTTGTGATTTTAAAATAACACTATGCAGTGTCTGTGCTATCCCATATGGTATGTACTTGACATGTGGCTAAGCGAGACTGACTGAGGAACTAAGTTTAAAACTTTATTTAACTTTATTTAATTTTAATTTAAATAGCTACGTGTGGCTCGTAGCTACTGTATTGGAGAGCACAGCTTTAGAGCTTGTTTCCTTTCTGGTTTTTGGGTACAAATGAAAGATTTCCCCCTAAAAATTCATGTTAAAAAGTGGTTTAATCTAACAAAACAAAGCACTCAGCTGGTAGGAAGCTGATGATAAGACTGGTGGTCAACAGGTAATTTTAAAATTTATCTTCCGATTTTTACCAATTATTTTTTCCTTATGTTCACTGTATTGACTTGATATTAGAATTTTGCCTCAAGGAAACTTGCTCTCCAAATGCCATGATCTAGGGACCCGGGTAATTTTGGAGTCATTTAACAATAATCGCATTGTGTAACTATCTTAGGTTTTCAATTTAACAAAATATCTTTCTTTGGAAGATGCAGAGGAGAACCTTGAGTCCAGTGGCCGAGTGCTGAAGCAGTGTGACCCTTTATGGGAGGAGGGTGGCAGTGGCACCAGAATCTTTGGAAATCAGGGCTTAAGTGAAGGCAGAACTGAAAACGATAAGTCTCGGGCCAGCCCTAGTGAAGAAAACAAAGCAAATAAAAATCACCTCCCAAAGGTAGGAAAGATGGGGCTGCAAGGGCAAATGGTGGGCTGCTGTAATTCGATGGCGTGGAGGGAACTTGGAGCTCAATTTAGTGTGTGATTTTCTCTTGATCTGTGAAAGTGGTTATTGTAGGAAATACGGGGAGTGCATGAGGGTATATCATGAAGTGGAAGGAAGACCTCACTTGTCCTGCCTGGACTTTGCAGTGATGGCTAGAAGGAAGTATACCCTGAATTCATACTCATACATGCGGATCGGCTCCATTTCCCGCCTAACGTTACTGCGTGTGTGGGTGCTTTCCATGCTAACCCATGTGATTGAATCCCATTTTTTGTAAATACCCTCACCTTCAGTGAACATCTTTGTGTATAAGTCTTAGTATTTTGCATTATTTGCTTGGCTAGAATCCCAGAAGAGGAATTAACAGGTTAAAGGGCATGGATATTTGAATCTTTTTAAGGTCTTTTGGTAAATTGTCAAATGCTTCCCCGAAGGGTTGTACCGCTCCCTTCCCAACCCCACTCCCACAAGTAGTATATGACACCATTAATTTTGCTGAATTTGGAACTTATCGTAAAGACTTCCACCAGGAAGTTCTGAGCTCAAAATGCAACGTAATGTAAAAGGTCACAGGCAGAGGCTAAGATGTGATAAGCTTCTGAGGATTTTGTTAGGATCCCCTGGGGCAATAAATTATGTACAGGAAGGCATCCTGTGGCATGTTTGAGTGTTACCCCCTGCTGGACTAGGGTTAATATTTCTTTAGGTCATTTTGAATTGGTTTATGAGGAGAATGGAATTGATTTTGTTTGCTAGCCCAGCAAGAGGGTATAAATTTAAATGTAAATTTGAGCAGTAATGGGAAATAAATCATTTTTGGTCTGTTAGGTGGGTTTTCTCTGTTCTCGTTGAAAGGCAGTCTGTGCCCTTTGCATCTGTCAGCCCCGCATTTCCCGTCCACTGGTGCAGGCTGTGTCCCCGTGCAGGCGACTCAGGCGGCAGTCTTCTCTTTCAGGTCACAAACAAACAGAGGCGAGAACAGCAGCGACTAGAGAAGAAGAAACGACAGGAGGAGAGGCACCGTCACAAAGCCCTGGAGAGCAGGAGTAGCCACAGGGACAACAACAGGAGTGAAGCAGACGCGAGCACCCAGGTCACCTTGGTGAAGACTTTCGCGGCTCTCAACATCTGACTCTGGCCTCCTGGGAGTTGTGAGAAGGGAATGGAAAGCGGAGGGCTGTGTGCCAGGCTTTCCAGCGAGGCCATCCTTTTACAAAATGAAACTCAACCCACAGAATTCACACACTGAGTTAGTTTCCTTCAAGCTGCCTCCTTTTTTTGTTCAGAGTTTTGTCAGTGATGTGTCTTATTTAATGAAAGTGCAGTGAAGCCATTCATGTTCCATAATTAAAATATCGACTTTTAGGGGTGGATAGTTAGGTCAAAAAAACCTTTTTAAGTGTGGTTTTATTTGCCCTGAAAATCAGAGTTCGGTGACCCCGGGATCTCTCCTTAACACTCGGGTTTTCACTGTAATTGTTCAGGAAGCAGTTTAGATTAATTGCTAGAAATTCAGAACATGACAAGTTTCCTTTGTTTCTCTTTCCTTTTCAAACAGACATTCATATGCAGGATAGGTTATAAATGATGTCCAACTCAGGTACATGTTTAGAATTAACTTTCTTCTAATGCAAGTTAATCAGAAAATAATTCAGGAAGTGTTTTCCCAAAGTAATAGGATGTGAAGGTTGTGGCCTGTAGTCAGGGTGGAAATTAAACAGCTGCGTTTCTCTTCTTCCTGATTCTGATGCTCAGATGGGATGCAGGTGCTGTTGGTTCGTTTGCACTCAAGCCATATGATAAATAGGCCAGACTGTTAACTAGGCCTGGGCTTTGCTGGAAAATCTGTAGTGTTGCTGAGTAGTTTGTACTTGTTTCTTGACAACGAGAAGACAGTGTATCATCAGTGCTTATGATATAGTTCTGGGATTCTGATAGCGTGGAGCACAGGCAGAAGCCATAGTTGTAGAGGCAGAAGTCAAGAGAGTCCTGAGTTTTTGCTCAGGAGGAAGTCTGAAGAGGTAATTGATTTGGGGTGGGGGGTTGGGGGTGTCTGGAAAAATTTCTAAGGCTTTTCATGTTCACATTTTAAGTACGTAACTGTCTTTTCTTCCTTACTATTCTGGATTTAGAAAGATGCCTTCAGAGAAATAAAAGGTAACTTGACCCATTACTGAATTTTCTTAGTATTGTGAAAATGAAATCCCATAAAACGCTGCACTTAACTTCTCTTTAGTTAAGCCCTGTTTGGGGATTTTGCTGTTCAAAACGCTCTCCAGCACCCTCCAGAAGTTGTCAGGGACTTAGGTTAGACTAGCAGGGCAGAGAACTTACTTTGGCTGAGGCCTTCAAAGGACTCCACAGTGCTGAAATAGATTGGGGCGGTGGAGAGATTTCATTCCTCAAACCGAATCAGGTGAATGTGAACTTTAAAACTGGAATGTATGAAGTGGCCAATCTTGGACTCTCTTTGCCTTTCGGGGACCTAATATTTGGAGAAATAATATATGCTGAATCAAAAGGTAAATTATTAGTTACCTCCCCCATCTCAGATTTCAAAATTATCAGAGTTCCGAGGCAAAGGGAAAAACTATAAAGAGGTTTTGACACGTATAGACATATCATCGTGTGGGCTGGCCTTGGATTCATTGGATTGTCTTTATCAGCAGGTGATTTGCTTTCTGTGGTTTTGGTGATGTATTTTGATTTTTTGTTTGTTTGACTTTGGTGACTTTTTGTGGTTGGAGCATCAGTGGTCTCTTGGAAGTGCTCCCAGAACGTCCTGGTACAGTACATCGTAATATGTAGCAGATTTAGAAACTGCACAGCATTTTTTCTTTGCACATTGCGGAGTCCTGAGTTAGAGCCTCTGGTACTCAGTCCAGACAAGTGAGGGGTCTCTGTTGTCTCACTGTCTCCAAGGGAGTGAGGTCCAGTGCTTCAGGACCTGTTCTCTTGGCTTTTAACTCTGGGCACGTTCCTGACTCTGGCTGAGCATTTCTGAGCGAGCACTCTTTCTTGTCTGTTTCGTACTGTGAGAGTACAGGAGACCAGATCCCCTCAGAAAGACTGATTGTGTACCAGAAATTCAGCAGAATTCGGAGTCAGAAACAGCTTGAGGGAGACCCACTGTCAGAAGTAGTAGGATCGCTTTATTTACTTGGTGAATGAAGGTGGCCTTGGGCCCCATTGGGTTTTTGTTTTTTCCTATTGGGTTTTAGAAGTTGCTAAAAAGTTGCTAAAGAATACTGGGCACATGAACTAGAAACCCTGAACCCCAGTTCTTAAAAAAAAAAAAAAGAATACTGGGCACATTTATTTATAAATTACCTAATTCTGATCATAGGCTTCGGCATTTCTTGGATAAAATAACAGTGATTTTAAAAACTAATCAAATGGCTTCAGTAGTTTTCTTTTATTACCATTTCATAGTTTTCCAGTTATAATTGGTCTGTGCTTAGTATGTTAATTATTAGGAATGGGGAATATGTATCCAACTTTAGTGATAACTTCTAGCTAAGGGTTTAAATTTAGCCTTCACTGCCTCAGTCCCACCAAAGTATCATATCAGGTAGATGGAATCCATGTAGTACTTGGTTGCCTTGGTAGGCACTTGAGAACTACTTTATTGGCAGCCAAAATGGAGGCCCAGCATGTTTAGTCCTGGGATGAGTGTGGTCAGTGACGGTTACCGGGTATAGTTAACTCAGGTGCACTGCATAGTAGGAGGCGACTCTTTCTTAACCTCTGTGGCTGTTAGAGGTTTGTTATGTGCGATTGTCTCGGTAGCTTTGGTCAGGAGAAGGGGGATGAGGTTGTGGTCCATAGCTGCTTACTAGTCTTATAAACTGTATATAAAGGTTTTATGGATTTTAAAAGAAGATTTTTTTAAAGGTCAAAATAGGAAATAAAATTTTAGTAGCATCAGCTTTGTACTAGAGAGGTAGATGTATTGAAACAACATAGAATCACAACTTCTGAATTAATATAGTTGCCACCAGGAGATATTAGAGAGAGTATGTATATTTAATTTTTCAATAATAGGAAATATGCTTTCAGGAGTGAAGTCTGGTTGAAGAATTGTGGCAGAAAGAAGAATCTTAAGTGTCAGTTGAGCTTGTCTATAGTTTCTTTTATAAGCTCTGAAAACACTTCCCTACCTATTGTGGTTCTGAGGGCTTGTGAAGTGGGAGCTCCATTGTGGGGCAGCTAGAGTGGGCCTTTGTGTAGGTCATTTCTCATGGTGCTGCCTGCTTCCCTGGGGAGCTTTGACGGGTTCGAAATGATACTGTCCTGGGGTGGGGGGAGGGCCATGCTGATGGGGGGAGAGCTGCTCCCATGTTAAATAGGTAGATATCAGATGGACTTGGCATTGAGCTGTGCTCGTAGCGAGTCCCTGTCATCGGTGTGCAGTTTCTCTCATTCTGAGAAACTGGACTGCCTGGGTTTTATTGTGTCCGCACAGAATGCTGTCAGTTTACCTCTGGGAGATGTTCAACTCGAATGTGCAGTCAGTTGAAGGAAACTTGGGTTCCTAGTCAGAGCTGACTAACTCTCACCCTGCCCAGAAGGGTCTGTGTGGATGGGGTGACAGTGGAGCTTTGTAGCTTCAACGTCACATCTGTGGCCCTCTCTGACGCCCATTTTGGGTAGATGCGTAGCTGTTCACCTTTTTTTACCTCAAGGCTCTATCTATAGCAAACCTTTAGACTCAGAGTCTGATGCAGTTTTTGTGTTTTGACATTTTCATCATTCACTGTTTTGTTCATCTCAGCCTTCAGAACAGGCGTCGCTCAAACTCTGGGGCCTTCCGACGGTTGTTCTGAGGTGATTTAATAATGGCACTTTCTACAAGGTGTGTTTTTCTGACTCTAAAGCAAATTGTATTTTTCCATTGATGTTGTTAAGTTGAAGATCTCGATGGCATATGTGAACGGTAGCAGATCTTCTGCTGTCACATGCGAGAGGGGGAATGGATAATTGGATTGAAGTGGAGACATTGAGCACCAGGCGCGAAGCGCATTGCACAGTACGGAACTCAGAAGGTGCGCACGGGGCCCGGCTCCGGGGAGGAGCTGGGCCTCGTTGACTGCTTGGCTGCGTCTGTCCAAGGTAACATTCCCTGTAGAAACCTCAGGCTCTTAACCATTTCCTCTGAGGAATTACATTCTAGAGCCTCGCTCTCCTAGTTCAGACTACTTTGTAGCTTGATTAAAACGTTTAGCATCCTCGCAAAGTTACTTGAGAAGGGGCTGGTACCAGTAGAGAATAATTTCTGTAAGAGCGCGGACTTCTGCGTGGTGACTGTGGTTTAAGCAGGGCATGCCCCTGGTCCCGGAACTACCCCTGCTCGCTGTGCTGTAGCCCTGGAAGGTAATGACCGCCGGGCGAAACCTCGGTGGTCTGCCCCTCATCCTCTGCATCTCGACATCCAGCAGCTCACTGTTGCCAGCCATCTGTGGCAGTTGTTTGAGCACAGTCACACACCTCAGCCTGTGGTTTGGTCCCCTGGCAGGTCCCTCAACCAGAACTTGAGGAATGCGGGTGTGGGCTCCTCTCATGGTTCGTTTTCCTTGGCGAGAAGGGCCCTCGGCCTCCCTGGCTACCCTTCCAGCGTCCGCCACCAGCACCGAGCTCCGTGAGAAGAAGAAAAGGGCCAGGAGTCGGACATCAAACCTCCGTGTTCCTCTTGCTGATGCAGAAGCGCTAGTGGGTGTTAATCCCCTTTATGAAGGAGGGCAGATGGGTCTGTGGAGAACACAGGGGCCTTCACAGGCTCAGCCACCTTCTCTTTTTTTCTAATTGCACTATACTTGTCCTCACTGCAGTCCGAAGATATTTAAGACCTCTGTGGGGTCATGATCCATAGACTTAGCAAGTCTTGCCTTATCTGTGGAGCTGGACGGGGGGAACGTGACCATTGTCTGATGTCCATAGTTCATTTCCTCCAGGATGTTTCTTTCCTCAGATTGTGTTACTCTGAACCATTTTATTTTTTATTTACCAAAGTACTGTACTTGGCTATTTGCAGTGTTTTCAAAACCAAATGTTTCTTTTTTTGTGTTTTTAATCTTCAATACTTGGTGCAATAGAAGCTGCAAAGATGTGCCACTTTATCTATGAAATGGAGTT